CACACACACACACACACACACACACACACACACACACACACACACACACACACACAGAAAAATAATTTGCTGGCATAGCAGATTTTATACTGTTGCGAAATTTATCAATTATTACATATGTGGACAGCAAAGAGATTTGTTAAAATTACTGATTGCTATTTGCTGAATACAGGGGAAAGTAAGCGAATTAAGTGTGTGCACCTAAGGGATATTTGTTTTCTTGGGATGGTTTTCTAAGATCAAAGTGATATAAATATGGAAATAGAAACTATAAACATTCTTCTACCATTACGTATTCTTATCTTGAACAGATTTTCATTCATAAGGTTGTATTAGGCAAAAAGGAAAAAACGGAAAAGCGAAAAAATTTCTCGCGCGTCGGGTAATTATGCGCAAAACAAAAGTCGTAAGAAATGAATGAATTGTGGAATGTTGACATAGAAATCAGAACATACATTCATTATATTGCAATATAAACATATATTAAACATATTTTAAATGTACATTGTATATATTAAGAAAAAATACAAAACTAATATAATAATAATGCACATAGACTTTGGCAAAATGAAATGGCAAAATAAAATAGTAATACCAAAAAGAAACGAAAAAACTAGTGCTAGTCATACAGTATATGAAAGATGGGTGATTATGCGCATTTTAAAATGCTTGCGCACAGTTGCCCGCCGCGACCTGACTCGGTACGAAATACGATTACTTCAACAATTCCTAATCAAACTTAATAAATAACTCAAAAGATGCACATAATAACATATTACTTTAATAACATATTCAATTTTAAACAAACAAATTAAAAATACGGACTTACCACCTTATTTTCTGAATGCTAAAATAACAAGAAAAGATGTAATTTCACTTTTTTGTATTTCTCTGGCGAGTGATGTATGTACGTCGTATCTTTTGTAGTTATATCTCAAGAAGACGACTTCCTGCGTAAAAATTTCGCCACAGTGATGTCTTCATATATTGGAAAAGTACCAAACCAGGATGCGCACAATTACCCGCTGCGCACAGTTCCCCCAATTTCCCTTAATTAAGTTAAAACTACAAATTATTTTACTGTAGAAATAAATGAATTTTTGTTTAATCAACTAATCTTTTTTGTTGCATTACCAATACAATTTGCTATAAAAGCAAAATACATTTGAAGAACTAGCAAGATGATTTTGTTCTACAAACAATTTATTTAAACTACACGAGCCAATCAAATTTGCTATTGTAACAAGATATGTTTACTAAATTAATGACATATTTTAATTGTATATGAACAAAACAATTTTCCTAAAAGAATATACGAAGTCTGCTGGACAACTTGGGGAATGCCTGTAGAAATTATTTTGAAGTTAATATATCTTTTTAATATATATATATCTCGATCAGGCAATAAACATGATCGAGAGATGTATTAAAAAGATATATTAATTCTTACAATTTATATAATATATTAACCCTTACAGGTACAATTTAGTGCTTCATATATGCGTACAAACTGGATTACTAGAATCCGTGCATTTTTTTCACCTATTTAGAACGGTTCAAAAAATCTTTAAATATTCACCAACATACTTTCAACTTTCTAGAATAAATATTAAAACTTCATTTTGAAAAATAATAAAATATAGTCTAATTTTTTTTTATAATTACCGAAGGACTCAAAGAAACTTGCACGAACAGGAATCGCTCGATCACTAGTGACTCCCGATTTTGTACGATAAGAGTTAATTTTGAAATAATTTCTTCAGGCAATCCCCAACTGTCCAGCAGATTTCGTATCATTATGAATACACGTTGACATTGAATATAGTAACAAAACTATATATAACGTGAACAATAGGAAAAATGAAAATAAATGCGATAAGATATTGAGAGGTCACTCGCGATAACACATTTCATGGACGCAGTAACGTTATAATAACAGAAGACTCCAGAAAGGAGACGACAGTCATTTGAGAATACGCAGGATAGAAGGCGCATCCTAACAAATCAAGTTTTGCTGTAATAACATAAATCGATTAGAATAACAAATTTTGCTGTCATAATGGATTTGAATGAGCAGTAGTAATTTTGCTCCAATAGTAAAAAAATTTGCTAAGAACATATTATTTTGTTTTAACAGCAAATTAACTTTGGTCCTAAAGACAAATATACACAGCAAATTTTTTCTATCTTAGCAACAAAACAGATTCTACTCTAACAACAAATAATTTCTAAAACTGGTTGTATCAACTAAATTTTATCGCTGCCATTACAAATATACAGTAGCAATAACAGGTTTGCGACAACAGCAAAATTATTTTTCTCCGTGCATGTTAAACTGAAATACATAGCATAGCGTTTTAAAATTTATAATACCATTCGATAACTATTATGATTAAATTAAATTAACTAATACTAATTGTTTAATTAATTTTTTTATAGAATTGGATTTATCGATTAATTTTAAACAGAAATGTGGAACAAAAGATACAGATGCATCTACAAAAAGCATAACACAAAAGAAGTCGACATGGCATCAGCAAAAGATTTTATTTTTACGAGCTTTAATTTACATCAAGCGAGATACAGTGAGTAAAAACTTTCGAAAGTAATATTCAAACAATTTGCTTGACAAATTAAAATGTTATCATTTTGATTAATCTTTCAGACCTTAACAAAACTAAGATTTGTGGCACACATCCTGGTCGCACTATTGTTAGGGACAGTTTTTTATAATTTCGGTGATGACGCGGAAAAAGTTAGCAGTAACATCGCTTACTTATTTTTCTGTCTATTATTTTTATTCTTTACAAATTCCATATTGGCAGTGCAAATGTGTAAGTGATGTATGTTCTTCTTTTACATATGAACGTACATATAAACGCTGTATAATTTATGTGATGTAGACTATAGTCTACTTGATGCTACAAATGTTTCGAAACATTCATTAGCTAGTAAAATTTTTTCTGATTGATCAATCAATCGAAGCATTTGTAACGCTAAGTAAACTGCATCTCTTGTTGACAAATAATTAAATTATCGATATAATACTACAATATATCTTTTTGATACTTCTAAAAAGTTAATAAATCTCTTCGATAATGTTTTCACAATTTATTGTGTTTATAATTATTATAAATGCGTTTTATGAATTTTATAAATTGTATTAAGTTAAATGCATCTGATTGTAGTTCCCATTGAAGCGACAGTATTTTTACAAGAACATTTAAACAATTGGTACTCTTTAAGATCCTATTACAGTGTAAAAATAATATCGGATCTCTTAATGCAAGTATGTTTAAATGCAACACTATAACTTTGTTATTAATTTTTTTTTCTTCAGGTATGAAGTTATGACTAAAGATTATAATTAGATTATAATTATATTAATATGTTATCGTGGCTTTTTAAATCAATTAAAGATTCGTTTATTTTTTAGATACTTTGCGCTTCATCTCTCGTGCTTATATCATATTATGTAACAGGACAGCCAATGGAATATGATAGAATTCTACGAATGTGGGGAATTTGCCTGTTAATTACAATTCTTGGACAAACAATTGGAGTACTTGCAGGCATAATATTTGGCACTGAGGTATTTCAACGGTGTATCTTTTACTATTTTAATTAATTTTTACATTACGTAACTTTTATGTTTGAAAAGCAAGATAAAAGTCATAACAATTTAACATTACGTATTATAATACAATATATTACATCGGAAAAGTCTAGATAGCAAACATATGTCACTTTGACGTTAAATTTTGGTTGTTCATTGACGAGTATTGATAATACTAATCGACGTTCCTAAGACTACAAAAATAATGGTTTAATATCACAAATTTTGACGTCTTATTCGCGACAAAATAACAATATAATTATACTCAAAAAGCTTATGTGATCATACAAGACTAATACTTTTATAATGAACACTTAACGTTAATAGAAATATGACAGTTCAATAAATGTTGTCAAAAAGAGAGATAAACATAGTTATTAATAAAATCATAAATACTTTTTTTTCGTAAATGATAAAAATTACAGTTTACTGATTTTTCACGTATGGAATAGCATCTTTTTTGTTACCTGTTTGTGCTACTATTATTTATTTAAAAAGAGCACGACTAGAAAGAACCAGTATATTAAGTACAATAACATTCCAAACAAACAAAAAATTGTTCATGCATGAATATGTATAAATATGTATAAACATACATAAATATTCATAAACATGTATAATCTTCATATATGAAATATGTCCATACTTGTTCATACATCCCTTTGTCTTTTGTAATATTATTTTTTAGTATAACAGAAATAATAATGTAATGTGAAAACATTAAAAATAATTAAAGGGATAATTTTCACATTGTTCGTTTTAGAAACAAACAAGTTTCGAAAGATGTAAAAAAAATTGCTCACATTTATGCATAATCTTATATATTATATAATTACACGTAAGTAATTTTTTACATTTCTTCAAACTTGATTTTTTCTAAAACAAATAGTGTGAAAATTACCCATTTAATTATTTTTAATGTTTTCACATTACTATTATTATTTCTATTATATTAAAAAGTAATTTTACAAAAGAAAGAAGGATGTATGACCATGTATGGACATATTTCACGCATATATGATTATACATATTTATGAATATTTATGTATATTTATACATATTTATAAATATTTATGCATAAAAAATTTTTTACTGGGATGCATATTCAAAATTGGAATATAAATGAGACGTTCTATTTTTCGATTTTGGACGTGATGCCGTCTAGTATATGTTGTATATTTATTTAATTATAATTATTACTTAATTTAAAAAATAATTATTATTAATCTTTATTATAAATATGACTTAAGGGGATGCTGGAATCTTCTTTTTTACCGATAAAGCAAGCGTTTATGTTAAATGCAATATTCTACGAATTAATTGCACAGAATAAAAATTCCTTCTCCACGATTGAAATATCCGTACTAATGTACCTGCTCCTGTGTTTTGTGTCCAAAGCTGAGAAAAATAATAAATTACAGATTTTTGTATCCATGTGCTATCAGCTCACCAAACATTTATTAATTTATTTCGTGAAAAAATTATATGTACGTTATATGCTCGAGATGGCGTTGCAATATGTTAGATAAGGACAGATGAATGCGTTTGAGCGAGACACGACGATATATAATAAGTATAAGAAATGAATGAAAGATGTCACTATTGTCGAATTTGGAATTTAAAAAAGTCTGTACTATCGACCTTGATTAACTTCGACCGTCACTCCAGCATCCCCTTAAAGATAATATTTTTATGTTAATATGTCGTCAGGAATATTACGTTTGTTTGATATTATTATTTAGTTGACTAATATCAAATAATAAAAAATGATCTTAAATTGACATTATAACAACGATACTTAGATTCATAATTGTACACAAAATTCCGTTCGGGAGAACTTGTTTATATTTAAGACAATTATAAATACATATAGGATAACTCCGGTAAATACGCCGCGCTGGGATTTATGTCGCAGAAGTCAGAAAAATAGAAAGAGTAGGGGTAATTTTCCCGCAACTACTCTGTTACATGTCTTTATGCATGTTATGTTAGTATTGTGATTTCAGTTTCTTACTGTTAATATATGAAATTATTGTTTGAATCGATTTGTAGTAAGTAACGCCATCATAAATTATAATCTACATAAAATGATTACTGTAGAGCGTGTAAAAGACTTAGTGATTATTTCGTGATACATACGTGTAGTGGAATAGTAAAGCATGTTGTGTAGCAAAATACAAGTACTTTGCTTTCGTATTCTCTGTTTAGTTTGTTGTCTTGTATATCCCACCTGTTTGGGATATACGGCATTTTTAGCAAGGATTTATGCCCAAAGCATACAAAGTGCACAGATTGAATTCAGTGCACTAAATGCAATAAACATTATATGAAATATGTATCTCATGTCATAACACTTGTAGTATATACAGGGTGGACCATCTGAAGTGGTCCAGTCAAATATCT